CACCTAAAAACAAAACAGAGCTGCAGACATGCTTAGTGATGTCTCTTACATGCTGAAAATAAAATCATGACATTCTGAAATGAATGTATTTTGTGTGCTGATATGCAAAAATAAAATATTCGTCTTGCTTTAGGACATCTTGTGATGTTTGTGTTGATGTTAAACAGAGGAGTTGCTAAATCAAACAACCCAGCGTATGACCTCATCAAAGCAAACACACAACATATCTGGTTCTGAAGTAAAAAAATAAAAAAATAAAAAATAAAAAATGTTATATAAATATAAACACGTTCTCAGATATAGAGTCTTTAATAAGGTCAGAGGATATGTGAATGAAACTTTCAGAAAATTTCCCAATGCTTGTCCTCTGGGTGATCCGAGGGGGGAAAAAAATCCACAATATGAGTCAGAGACAAAAAGTTCTCAGTTCTGCTGAATGACACACAAAAGACTCATGTGTTGTCCTTCATTTTGAAACTCTGTGGTGTGGTTACAGGAAGGGTTTGTGTGCAGAACAATGTGATTATGGCAAATGTTTGGTGTTTTCCATTTATTAGTGCCTTGTTCTGTTTAAATAGTAATTAATAGTAAAAAGAAAGTCACTTTAGTTTTCCTTTTGATAATTCTCAATTCTCCAAATTACCCTTGGACTTCCCGCTATGTGTCACAGTTGCCTCCCTTCCCATTTGGGGGGAGGATAAACACAACATATGGTGTGTGTCATCAGTGGAAATGATGGTAATCTTCCTCTTTGTATAAATGCATTACCTGGTCACATGTTATTTCTAAATGTTTAGCAGAGCACATAGTCAATCCAGCTGGTATCAAACCCTCCAGCAGACATATTTCAGGATAATAAGTCGTACTATCTGAATTCCCTGCTTTATGGAAACATAAAGCAGGGAATCTCTCCTCCCTCTGAAAACTTTAACCTCGGGTCAGAGTTAAAGTAATCCACCACATACAGCATTATCTTTTTAAGAACAACTGTTAAAGAAGAAGGCCATATTTTGCCATTGTTTTTTATTTGTTCAAGATAAAGCGGGTTACTGGTTTCCAGGAAGACTCAGACATCCCTCTACCTACAAGATGAGGCTCTCTCTGTGGTATCTGGATGTGTTTCCCAGCCAGAAATATATGTATTTCTCCAAAACTTCTGCTCATCTTGATTATCTTGCAGAGGAGCACAGCCTCTACTGACTGATTTGTGAGTGAACTCATCAGAAACCCTGCATCAAAGATCAGAAACAGTTTCATTATCAGTAAATGTGGGTGAATCTTTATATTTCTTTCCCCTAAAGCTTTATTCCAGCTCTTATTCAATAATCTTTTGGTATGTTTATTATAAATCAATAAGTACTATTATTTAAATAATAAGTGAAACGATTCAATACAAATCTGGAATTTGAATTTTGCATTTAATTAATTATTTTGGGATTGATAAAGTATTCATTAATTGCTTTGGGATAGTTTAGCCTACTGATGGTTTGTAGGGTAAACCATCACATAAGATGCATCAACAACAAAAAAGCTGAATAGTAAGAATTTTTAAGGCTATCTCTAGAACAAAGAGGGAACATTTTATTGTTCAACACTAAAACCGAACTAATTTGTCACTACAGGTAGGTCCACTGCATTCACTCTCCCACTTTGGTACATGCAGGGGAAGAGAAAACCTCTGGTCCATCTGTCAGACTGGCTGGCCGGCTGCCCCATCACAGCAGTAGAGATTATCTTGGCTTAAGGCAAAGAACCAGTCGTCTGACCTCCAGCCTGCTGGAGAAAACCAGAGGAAGCCCCAACCTGCAAACCCTGTGGCGTCCCACTCTACCTGCAGAGGTCCTCAACAACGTTACCTATAGTCTCCAGCTGTCTCTGTCCTACATTAATCGAAGGATTTACTTGAGAAGGCATGTAGAAATATGATGAGACAAGAAGAAGAAAAATAGGACAAAATATGAATAGCTGCATTGGTCAAACACATTCATTCAGTTCAGTTAACTTAAGAATCAAGAGCATCTATGAAAGAGGGTGAGCGCAGCGCCTTAGGGGAAGCAGGCTATTAGTTCTCAATGGGATGTGAGGCGAGAGGCGGCCAGGCAGGAGGCGGAGGCTGCTGCCCATCCTTGAATACACTGAATGCAGGTCTCCTGCTTCCTGCATTCACTTCCTGAACAAAGAGCCACAATGGTGTCCTTTGCTGTCTTGGGTGGCTGAGGCTGCTCCTGGCGATGTTCGGAGGGTAAGCGAGGATCATGTGTGTGTATATGTGTGTGTGCTTGTGTACGAGGGGTTAGCTGGCTCCTACGACACACAGCTAGCCTGCACGTGCCCAACCTGTGGCCTGCCACTGGACAAACAAAGAGATGATGTCATGCTCAGCCAATAACAAAAGAGTGTGGGTCTGTCAGTCCCGCCCTTCTCACCCGGCTGGTTCCAGCCTTATCCAGCTTTAGCATTAATCACAAGCCTTATCCTCTTTACTGGGGGTGGAGTGGTGGGGAATGGTTAATAACAAACCAGACATGGGGCAACTGCAGACAGGGAGAGGAAATAAGCTGTAAAGGAATGGGTCAGTGTTGAGAGGCCGTCGGCTATAACTGAAAGAGACAGGCAGAGCTGTCATGCGACTGAAAGTGAGAGAAAGGAGGAAGCATGGCTCCGTGGGGTGCCACAGTGTGACATCTGCTGAGCACACTGCCTCACACAGAGATGAACTCAGTAGACTCAAGTTGGCAACAGAGAAATGAAACTTAAACTGACTGAATTCAAAACATATCCGACGTCACACCTCTGCAGCTGCAGAGAGTTTAACTCCTTCGGGGCTGGCTCTTTGTTATTGCTTTCCCATGCATATTGCATCGAGACATACATGTTCGCAAGCCAAAAAAGCAAAATTATCAGAGAAGAATCTGTTGGTGGAGATGAGTCAAACCCTCTGAGCTGCAGGATTTTCCGTCTGCCCTTCAGGGCAAAGACAAACTAACTGAGGCAGAACACAAGCAGCTGCAGAAACTCAAACCATTCTGGGTGAAATAACATAAAATATATTGACTGTCTTCAAGTGAAGATTCTCTATTGTTTTTTCTTCAATTGTACATTTTGATGTCACTGAGATTGTACACAGGAGCTGTGATATGTTGCATAAACTCATAGTGGATATGGCTATCTTAGAAATTTGGGACTTTGACAGACTCATTTGAACTTTTTTTCTGGGATGGAGTAAATATCCAAATAAACAACTTCAATTGCTTTAGAAAAAATAAAATTGAAGAAAAAAAGTTTAAATTCATGGTGGATATTTTTCCTGTACACACAACATTGAGGCGCATCTTGCTAATGTTTGGATAAATATTTCTTAAGAAGTTGCAGAATAACCCACGCTCCTTTTGACACCATCAGCAACACCAGGCTGACTGGGAGTGGAAGTGAAGGTTAAAACAATTAACATTTCCACTAATACCGTCTGGCTATTTGACCTTTACTCATTTAGACAGTCAAGCATTCAAGCTGTGAATCAGACACAAGTCTGTCTTCCAGCCACGAATCTATAACACAAAGACACAATCTATGGACCATGTTATGATTATGTTTTACACAACCAAACTGGCAACACCAGTGTAACACAACACAAACAACAACTGGACTTTATGTCATTCTGTGCGACACTTACTAGCCTAGTTTACATCATTGGGTGTAACAAGCTTAAATAGTTAAAAATAACACAAGGAACCAGGAAGAACACGTTCTGAATTTGCCTTCAGGTGCATGTCGTCATGTTCACTGAGTCATGTAAAGCCGTAGTGAAATCCCTGCAAACACAAACGATACGGAGAGAACAAACAAGTTTCCCAAACTGTCTGTAAGACTTCCCCTCTCAAGCATCGTTTGGTTTCACACAAAGACTAAAATACAAGCGTAGGCACAGCACAGGTGGACAAGCCATGGAAGAAAAAAAACTTTCGTATTCAGAGGAAGAAGTCATGGAAAACAAGAGGATTTGATTTCAGGGAAACCAATAAGCAATAAACATATAATAAGCCCATCTGCCAAATATGGCGTTCCCACCAGCTCCCAACCTAAGAATGTGATGCAGGCTTGCAGAGAGGACTCAGATCCCGATTCCTACTTTGATTCAAAAAGCTGGCAGAGCTGCTTTTGAGTGAGTCTAGTTTAGCGACATTTCAAGAACCTCTAATTTAAGAAACCTTGCAGTTAGTGCAGATAAATATATTTGACGACAAGCACATCTTGACCTACAAACAGCACATTCCCCCTGCATGCTCTCTGCTTCTGTATATTTGAACTACATTGTTTTTGCCATTGTTTATGTCCTAAAACTGGTTGCTACAACACAAAAACTGAAAAGAAAATCCAGTTGAAATCCAATTTTCCAGGTCAATAAACTGTTAAAGAAAAGTTAGCTTTTGCATAGTGATTCCACAAAACAGATGTTTTAATGCATAAGTGAGGATTGTAATTTCTTCATTCTTTTTCACAGAAAAAGAATGTGCTGCAAATTTCTTTAAGTTTGCATGTGTTGTAGTCCTTTGAAGAAAAAAATAACATCAATCAAAAATATAAGAAAAAAAATGAAATTTGGTATCTGCCTGGAAAAGGTTGATTGCCACATCTCTAAATTTGACTTATGGTGGTTTAAATGAGACAAACATATTCCACTCACGTATTACTGTGTTGAAATTTGACATTTTGTTTTACTTCATCTCAGTTATTAATAGCTTCATGGGAAGTAAAAATGAGAAAATATTCCCTTTTAGCAAACAACAACACAAAGATATCAGCACCACAATGTAGCTTCTCTAAATTGCTAACAGCAGGAAGTAGAGGGAAACCACATTTCTGGATCCATCCACCAGCATCTCTAAATCTCAGCTGCCTCACCCTCATCTACAAGCTTCAACTTGCCATGAATATTGTCAACTCATTTGCCAAGAAGGTTCCTAATCTGTGGCATCAGCTGCTGTGCAGCTTTAACTCACCTTCAGTTTGCCGTTGGGCTGCAGCAGCTCGGTGACAGAGACCTTGTCCTGCTGCAGTCGCCTCTTCACCAGCTTGGAGTAGCAGACATTGACCGCACCTTGCACGTGTGACGCGTTGTACTCAGAAAAGGTCCTGCTGTCGATCACCAGCAGGCGCCCCGTCCCTCTCTGAATGAGGCTCGCCAGGCGCTTGATGTCCATGGCGCTCCGCTTGTTGGGACCTTTCTCCCCTGCCATGATGTAAGGAAGGGCTGAGTGGTTGTGAGGGGTAAGAAAGAAAGAATAAAAGGAAGAGGGGGAGGCTTGAGGGGGAAGATGGAGGAAAAGATGGGGAATGGGAGAGATCAGTGGAGTGGGGCTACCACTGGAGCAAGCGCCAAGAGATCCATGGTGCCTATGAAAGAGAAAATAAAGATAAAATGTAATAAACAACATATATTTAATCTGGAGCAATTACTGATGAACAGTCAGTTAAAAGAAGAGAATCAACTGAGAATCATAAAAATTGCAGGTCAGGCCTCATTTTGAACTTCTGGTGTGCCAACATTAAACAAACAGCTCCAAAGTGACAATGATGTCTCTTTTATGCATACATCTCAATGTTCATGGGAAAATAATGAACTATTTTTATAGACTTTGTATCATCTTTTATTAGCACACTTTGAGCCTCTCACTTATAAAAATAACCATAATGCTAAACATGAACACAAATTATTTAAAGACTTAAAAGCCAACAAGATCACTTTTCAGTGCCGGGATATGAAGAAACATCATGCTTCAAAATAATAAAAGAAAGAAGCCACAACCTTAATTTAGACTTTCACAACAATGAAACACAGGTGTGTGTTAAATGTGTGTGTGAGAGTTTGGTGGCTGTTGATCCCAGATCTCCTCAGCAGCAGCTCATGAAACAGGAAACTGAGAGTGTGAGTTAAATAAAGCCGGGGGAATTCAGAGAGCAGGTCTGGACACAGGCAAATGACCTGTGTGACATCCTCTGATAGTGTGCGTTGTGTGTGTGTGTGTGTGTCAGACAAACATCCATAAACTTGATAAACTGCCTCCTCTTATTCATCATGTCCAATCACTCCAAACTCCTCTCAGCTCACTTCCACCATCACACTCACAAATTTAACATGAGACATGCAATCATTGATCATGTTTGGATTTGTATGATTAACAGCGTGGAAAACAGTACATGCGTTAGGGTCATAAGGACACCAAAATGTGATTTGCTTAGGTCAATATTGGGATGAGAAAAACACCTGACGCTTTGGATGATGTCTCCAGTCAACCAATGGTGGTGCGACAAGCGAGAGGGTCAGAATGTGAATGGTGCTGCGTTGTTTTATTTATCTACACGCACATGGTGTGATGAAAAATTGATGAGCTCAGTTTCATTTACCCCAAAGCCTAAATGGGGCTTTAAAAGTGAGAGTGGAGGAGACAAAGTTGTAGAAACAGAAAGGGAATGGTAAGGAGATAAACATAAGCTCCTCGTTATTTAACCGAGGACTTTAGAAAAAAAACAACTTTACGTCATGCTTTTAGTGATAAAAGGAGACACAAATGGTAAGTGAGAAAGGGAAAAACAACAAACCAACGATTATGGCTTCTAATTGGCTACAACATATGAAAATATTCAGACAAAACCTTCTCTGTAATCTCTAACATCGATTCAGGAGAAAGACCTCTAACAACGTCAGCATGTGTGAAAAAAGGGACAAATAAGTTAAAGAGAAATCTGAGTTAAAATATACTGAAAATAAAATCATTCAAAACCCTTCATGCTGTTACCTTAATGTACAGTGCTTGGTAAAACATTCATAACCGTATTCAAATGTGCAGTTTGTTCACATTTTCATTCCTTCTTTATCCTAAAATAAAATTCAGTGCAACCTATCACTCAGAAATGCCCCAACATGGAACCCAGTTAAGAGTTTGTGAAGGGTTATAAATAGGTCATAACGCTGTAAAACACGACGTAAAGCTTTAAATATTTCACAGAGCACCGTTCAAGCTGCAACCCAAACAACTGTAAACATACCCACCCCACTGCTGTTCACCCAAGCTGCCAAGTTGGACAAATAGAGGCTTAATCAGAGAAGCATCCAGGATGCCATTGGGAGCTCTAGATGAGCTGCTGAAAGCTACACCTCAGGTGCTGAAAGGACAATGATTAGCTGTGCCAAACAGCCTGGTCTTTGATAAAGAAGAACAAAGCCAGAGAAACGTGAAGAATATGCTACAAACATGAGACCCAAATTTTTTGCACAGAAAGCCAAGATGTTCGTCAACATCTGTCTTAAAAAGGTTTTGCACATGAGCAGGCCAAACACCACCAATATCAACCTTCTGGAACAAAATAAGACACCACTGCAAAATTACTAGTTCTCTTTTTTTATATTTTGAGTAAAATGAACATTGTTCTATTGATCTACTAATAACATGTCTCCAAAATTCAATTGAAATATTTAGTATTTATTTGCAGAAAATGAGAAATGGTCAAAATAACAAAAAAGATGCAATACTTTCAGACCTCAAATAATAAAAAGAAAACAAGTTGATATACATTTAGAAACAACAATACTAATGTTTTAACTCAGGAAGAATTCAGAAATCAGTATAGAGTGGAATAACCACGAGGTTTTCAGTGGGGTTCAGTGCAGTGGTCTCTTAATTTTTTCCAGATCTGTACATGGATGGACCTGCCACCTCATAGCAGAGGCAGAAATCAGGAAGAAAAGATGGTACTGGGTAGGGCACACCCAAGACAAACAGCATTAAATATCACAGGCAGTTGAAGGAAAAGAGAGGAGGTCCAAGAAACATCTGGAGACAAGACATCCAAAATATCGGCTGCACCAGGAGCCAACTAGAACTTCTATCTAGTTGATGCCCCATCAAATAGGTAGAATGTCTACTTGATGTCCATTAAATCTAGCTATGGTGGGGAGTGCAGGGCAAAAATGACAAAAATACAATTTGCAGTGGACACCTGAAAACATACCATAAAAATGGTGAAACACTGCTGTGGCAGCACCATGCTGGGGATTTTCTTCTTGGGTTTATTGGGGGAAGGATAGGGCAATGCACAGGGGGAATCTTAGAAGCAAAAGACCTGCTGCTGAGGTTCAGTTTTCAGAAGGAACCACCCTATGCATCCATCCAGAGCTCCAATGTAGTTATGTGGACCATTCATGTGTTAGAATTGCAGTGAAAATCACATCTACAGAAACAGCTCAATACCAATGCACACAATCCTTTTCAGATTTCAAAGGAAAAAAAACTGTGATAACCATTAAACTTAGTCTAGCACATGAAAATCCAATAAAATATTTTAAGGTGAAGAAATATGGAAAAAAAAATCAGATATGAATGCTTTTCCAAGGAACTGTGACACATCATGATTGTGGTTAGAGTCATCTATTTGATGTGACAATGGATGTCACAGCACTGTACTTAATGACAAAATAATGATCTGCCATTAAGGTTTATGTCTGGGACCGAATGATGATCGTACATGTACGTGTTGCAGCTGCCTGGAGAAATGCCTGACTCTAGAGAAAACAGACACGACAAGATATGTAGACAGTTACGCTGCATGGGAAACACAGCAAAACTATTTGTGGATCAGCTGCAGAACAGTACGTGATACTAACATATATAATAATACAACTGAAATAGGACTGTCTATATTAGCTGAAGGTAAAAGAAAAGGACAAAATTCAAAACAACTGATGAATCAACATCAACATGAATATTAGGCACCAAATTTGTTTTAATTTTAACGTAAAGCAAATAGTGTGCATTCGAAAGCCCAACTGCAATGCCAACATCTATCAGACACAGATCCTGCACCTTACAGCCATCACCTGTTATATTCATACCTTCTGTAGCAGGCAGACCTTCAGCCGAGCAGCTAACAGCACAGCTCCCTAGGTTGGGAATCTTTTTTCCCTGTTTTCCAGTCTCCCTGCTGCTGAGGACAGCATCTGACTCTGCATATGTCTAATGGCGACTGCTCTCCCTCCCACCCAGACTCTTGTCCATTTTTTCCTCTCAGAATCCCTCCTTCCTTTTCTATCACTCTTTCTTCTTCTTGTGCAGTGGATGGCAGTAGGGAGGGGGAGGAGTGTTCAAGGTTTTTTTTTTTTACATGTGTGATAGTTAGAGACTGAAGCACTGCATCTTTCGAGACAATTGTCCCGCATGCAGAGTCAAACAGAGTGAAAAAGAGATTGCTTGAAGACAGGGAGGGAAACGGGACAATGAGGGAGGGATCACAACCCTCATCGTGCTGACTCAACCTAACAACCCTCAATTGTGTTTCTCCCTTTTATGTTTGTGGGCTCTAAAATAAAGAAATATTAATATTATTCTCACACCACTGTAGCCTGGGGTTTGCTCCGAGGCTGTGGCTGAACAGGAGAAAGCAAGGGAGGAGGAAAAGCAGCTAGTCAGACATTGGAGATTTTGTCGTTCACATAGAAACAGCCAAACTGGGATGATGGAAGAATAGGGAGAGCGATGCTTATCAGATGATCCTGCTGCGGATGTCGGGTAAGAATACAGAAATTGGTTAAAAAAGAAGTTTGAAAAGAAAGAGATGAAGATGAACGTCGTATTAGGAAATCAAATGATTACAACACTGCAGAAATTGTGTCAAATTCACATTATCCTGTCTCTCTTAAACGCCACTGCTTTGCTTCCAGCAGTCTCTGTGACCTTTAGTCCCTTTGGCGCTGTCATTTGTGTGAGGTGTGGTCAGCTACTGCAGTGACACCTCATCAAGCAAGCTCTGTAGTGTACAAATCTTAAACTACGCAAAAAATCACTCAATATCTACTGAAATCAATCTGAAGGGTCATTTCTTTATCTTCCCAAAAAAGCAATCCCTTCACACACAGAAAAAGGAAAATGAGGGACTTCCATCTGCTTAAGGATTAAAGATTTACTAAAACTCAACACAAAGGTTGATCAACAATTCAAGTAAGACAAAGATTAATGAAAGAATAATACTGTAATTAAACCTACTCAAAATGATCAAAGTGTGCAAAGAACCACACAATAAACATAAGGTGCTACATAAAGAATTTTGTTTTCTTGTCACATTTTACAGTTTTATGTTCCTATGAAATTTCAGAATGGAATATTCTGAATATTATCTACTTTAATTTAAAAACACCACAAGTTTGTCAGTATCTCAGAGGCCCAATGAAAAGTGGCTTATAGTCTAATACTGATTTGAAGGAAAATATTGTACATATCAAATGATCAATATTATTGGCTATTCATAAATTAATTCAGAATTTTATTCATATGAACAGAACACAATTAACAAAATCGTATGATTTTCCTCCACAAGACGAGTTTACTTTGACTCTGTCTGTGAGTTTATTTAAAGGGGAGCTGCAGAAAAGCTACTTTTTAAGCTCAAAGTTCAAATCCAAAGAATACAAAACTGAAAACAGATATTGCATTAACATTATGTTACAGGAAAAGATTAGCTTGATATTCTGTCAGAGTGATAAAAAACATTTCTCATTTTCTACAGCTACATAAAGTTATTATGAGAGATATTTGGAGGTTTCATTTCCTCCAGATTTGAGATTGAGATTTTGTTAAGATTTTTGTGAGAAAAAAAGAGACCTGACCAATATTTTTATGAGCCTGACCCAAATTTGCATTTGGCTGCAGTCTAGTAATACACAAAAACATCTGAGAGCATTTCTACATAAACAAGAAAGTAACAAATCATCCTGGTACATTCATACAAAACTCTTTCTTAATAGACTCCATAGAAAAATGTTCTTCAGAAATTTTAATATTGTTATGAGCAGTATTCCTGCACATTTCCCAGTTAAAACTTCAATGTCTATCCAGAATATTTTGATTCTTTCTCATTCAATAACATTCTGGAAATCTAAGTATTTCCCTAGTTTAGAGATGCTCTTGATTTGGTAGAGGGAAAAATTAAAAACTGTCATTTCACAGTTTTAGGGTTTGTTTTTTGTATTTTTGCTTCTGTAAAAGCTTGGAATGACTCGTTAAAGTTAGATGTGGAATCTGGACAGGAATATCTTATGCTAAAGATTCTTTAAAGACCATTTTGTGATCTTTAGTACCTCAAATCTGTTCTTCATAACTTAACTTATAAATATTTGTCAGAAAGCACTTTGTTACTGTGATTTTTATGAATGTAGATTTTTTAAATCTTCAAGACATAGGATAAAGTGTGGAAACTTTTGTTCCCCCCTTTTATACACAATTTCTTTTTCTACCCATCCTGGAAAAGCATAAAAGCAAATTTTATGCTTTTCCAGACTTTCCCCAAGACTGTGAAGAAACTTTCAAACAAATGTTGTCATATGTTGTCATGTTATGGCAACAGTTGAAAGGCATGACCAACGAGGTGCCTGTTTTTGGTTAACATTATCCTCTCTGTAGCCAAAATACTCCCACACAACCAACAGTGCTGTTCTTTGTGTGATATATTACTTATTACTGATTTTTTTCTACATGTTCTTCATTCTTTGTAAAGTGTGGAAACAAAGGCTTATGTCACTCAAGATGGTTTGGTAAAAAAAGTTGTTTTTAAACCAAAATCCATTGATGAGAACATATTAGGCATCTTGAATGTGCATTGCCAAAGCATATTAGCGTTATTTAACACCATATCTATGCATAATCAATAGAAACAATCGAAATATATGGAGTCGCAGAGTGTGGTGGGTTCAGGGATGACTGCAGACATTTAATTGCCTGAAGAGAAAATAATAAGGAAATGGAAAAACACGTTTCTCTTCTTGTGAGGTCAAATAAAATCATCAGATGACTTTACAGCGGCTCTCTTTACAAGCAGCAATAAAACTGATTACGGATTTACACTGTGTGAAACACATCAGTAGAAAGGTGGATGAGAAAGTAAGCTAATATTTGTCTAGTTGACGTAGGAACTTACAGGGGGGGCGATTGTTAAACAAAACCATGACTGAAGCATGTTGGACTGGCTCAATAAAGTCATATCAGAAATGATGAAGCAAGGCAAACACAAAAGGGGTAACTGGAGGCCAACCAGAGGTGATGTAATACTATACAGGTTATTCATTAACTCCAAGTATACGTCATCTGTGTCCAAAGCCTTGGATCTGCTGATAAAAGACCACACTTGTAGAGTCGCACAATGACAGACCTGACTTGTTTGTTTAGACTGCAAACAATGACATCATGAGAGCATTTCATGGCCTCCAAGGCTCTGTCATGGAATCAAATCTGTGTTAGCAAGCTGTTTCTCTTTTGAGAGAATGTAGGCCTATCATTTACACTTTCAAAGGAGTTACTATAACAATGCACGGTGCACCTATTCAACCCACTAACACTGACCTCCTTGCTGCTGTGCATGCAGTGATAAGAGTAAAGACATTGCTAAATTATTGCAACTTTTGCAACAATTTTACAGTTTTGACAGTAAGTTTATAATAACACAACATGCTTGCGAGAAAGATCTATTCCATCTCGTTTCATTAAAAGTTTTTTGCAATCTTGAATTAATGACTGTTAAAAGCTCACAGCAGGTGCTAAAATAATATCGGTTACAATAGAGAAAGGAGCAAAAAACTTTCATAAAGTCAAATTTAAGTTAATTAAAAAAAAAACATTAATCTGCCAGACTGCATCATCATTTTCTGTAGATAAAATGTATCTTTACACCCAAAACAGAAAGCAACACAAATTAATAAATAAATGATTTTAAAAAATAAATTGTTACTAAATTATAACAATTTTTCATGATATTTTGCATATCATGTTATCTTCAGATGAATTTGGTAATTAATAATAATTCTTCACAAGTGGAAAGCTCAAGAGAATTAATACAAGTAAGCAAGTAAAGAAAGAAATAAAGTAATGCATTTAAATTATAGAAACACATTGTAATCTTTGGTACATAACCTCGGACAACAGGTCCATCTTAACTTTAAATCAGTAATAACTTATAAACTGTTTTCTTGGAAATGAGAGTGGAAGAAAACTTTTAAACCCCAAATTTAAAATCGAGTAATATTGAAATGTATAAATATATATATATATATATATATATATATATATATATATATATATATATCAACAAAAATATTCAAAATTTCATGACATTTCTTACTTTTATGTGGATAAAATCAAAATAAATATTACAGTTTGAAAAAGTCGGGGGAAACAGAGGAAAAAAACCTAGTAACTTCCTAATATATTTTGTTATTTGATGTAATTATATGAATGATAAAGTCTTACATCCGGAATTCCTGATACTATGTCTATTTGTACTGGAGCATTGTGCAGCAAATGTAAACAAAACGCATTAGAAAAAGCCTTTAGAAAAGAGGAGTCTCCTTTGATCAACTACCAGTGGTGAATGCTTGCTGCTGCCACAGTGATCATGTAATTTAGAAAAAATCAATTCCTGGCTGGTCCTGCTGGCGGAGATCATCGCCGTGATGATGTAAACAACAAATTCACATATAAAGCCCTCTGGTGTCCTCTGATCAATACTCTCCCAGTGAGGTTAGCAGGAAACAGCAGGGTCATATAACAAAACCAGGACAACCCCCAGACTTCAACATGACAACTATTACGACATGAATACTGATACAGACGATTCCCGGCTAAGACTTGACACTAAGTCTCCACACCATGTAATCTGATGAACACAAATATGGGAAACGGCTCTAAAGGAACAGATTGCTCTAGATAGAGTCAACAATAGAGGGTTGGGGCGCACAAAGACTGTCTGTGTGGCAGCGTTAATAACAGTGATGGAGGGTGTGCGGTCATAGCGCTCTATAATAAACCGACCTATATTAGAGAGAGAGAGTAAATAATGCGTGAAAGGCTATTTTCTTTGCGCAGCTGGATTAAATTGTCATTAGAGGCAAGGTGCGCGGTCACCAGTAGGTTGAAAGGTTGCCGTGTGTCAATGGGAAGCCTGCCGTTGTTCTGTTATGACGCGGAGAAATGTCCGCGTGCGACAATTCACCGCTCCATTGATGACGAGAAGCAGCTCGCACAATTCAAAATCAACGAAGAAAACAAAATCAACGCACAATTCAAAATCAACGAAGAAAGTACGTACCTTATGTTGATCAAAGGGTTCAACTACAGAGGGTTCATCACGGGACAAGAATCGATAACCTGAACCTGGACGGATTTAATTCCCATAATAAGACGTGCGCGCACATGACGGATCGGAATGGAGAGGGGGGGTGAAGGGGGGAGATAGGGTACGCGCTTCACGGAGTCACTGCAGCAGCAGCCGTGAGCCAAAGCAGCCGCTGCTAATGTCATAAAAAGCAACCCACTAATACTAAAACACACACGCGCGCGAACACTCACCTCGACCTCCACGCGTTCTCTGTGTGTTATTGAGCTGGCTTCCATGGGTCAGGGGTCAACCGCGGCGTCTTCATGGGTGTTTACCTGGCGGTGTTGTCGTGGGAGTTACAGTAGCCCCACACAGCTGACAGGCAGAGGAGGGTGACAGCGCCAGGAACTAAAACCCGGGCTGACGGAGCGTCAGACGTCTCCTTCAGACCAGGAGCAGAGTGCGGAAGGTGGCAGGTCAAAGACCAGCTACGGGCTAAAGCGGTTAATGTGTATGTGTACGTTCAGGAGGAGGACGGGGTTCAGGTGCACTTTAGCACTTTCATGAACTAAAGCGATGAGGTCATGGTTCATGAGGGAGAGGAGTGGAAAAAACAGAAAAAGCATTAGTTGACGTCACCTCCAGCCAATCAGCGCCGGTGGTTTGGGGTTAGCGTGACGTCAGCTCCTGGCTCATGGATTAAAGGGACTATTCCGTCTTTTTTTCTGTTACTTAAATCAGACCTCATAAATTTTAACAGAAGAGACACAATTGCAATTTCGTTCGCGATGTAATTATTATGTCTTTGCAGCATTGACATATAAATATCTTTAAATTCAGCCTCAAACATTTCTAGACCCCACACAGTCGTGTTTGTAATCTTCTTGCCCTCATTCTGCCCATCTAATTACAAAGTGTCAAATTCCAATACATTGCTAAGTTGCAATTAAAATGTATGTGTTTGTAGTAATTAAATTCAAAAAAAAAAAAAGACAAATGCATGAAGTTACATTGTTAAATGTAGTTTAGCAAACTAAATTAGTCTCATGTATTGATTACAATTATATATAGATAATTGTAGGTATAGATGCATATTTATCTAATTATTTTTTCAACATATTTTAGCTCTCAATACACCTTTCCGGAAAAAAAAATAAAGTCACTTATCAAAAAACTAAAAAAACAGTATCTGGCAATAATTAATACAACTTGATGAATATTGCAGATGGAGAGACATTTTAGAAACATTTTAGGAAGAAAACTGTGAAAGTCTTTTTGCAGAAACATAACAGAAATCACAAACTGTGTTACAAAGGTTGTCATAGCAGAATAATATAATCCTTTGAGGAGTCACTTGCCTCAGTCTATTGTCGTCCAATAGCATTGAAAATGTCCATGTTTATATTTTGACAGATAAATATAGTTTTTTAAAGAATGTATTGTTTGGCTTAATGAACCTTTGTTTGGTGATAGATTACTTGGTTGAGGTTGGACAGACTAAATGAATGACTTAACGAATATTAATCCCAGAGGGAATATGCAAGATTCTAAATAAGAATCTGCTGCAGGCAAATGCAAGTCAGACTCAGTGGGGACACATAAATAATCTTTTAAGTAGGCCAACAAAAATTGATCTCCACTTCTGATGCCATCTTCAATATTATCGATACTACCAGTCATCCTTGGAATACAGCAATATATAGCAATTAAATAACTTGTTTTAGTTTTGTGGCGGCCATATAACTGGGTAGAAACCCATTTACCCGCATCAAGAACCACTAGTGAACCCAGTTCTTTTCATCAAAACAACACAAAAAGACACTTTTTCAAAGAGTTTCACAAGCACTGAAACTGTAACTTAGGATCTATGTTTATCATGTTTTTCTTAATGGTGGTACTTGTTTAAATGGCACTCTGTTCAAGTCACCTGCTTCTTCTTCTTTTTAGATAAACCCAAATACACAATTACTTAAGTTCTTTCTGGAAAATTATAATAGAAAAAAGCCTTTATTTTATGCAATGTATCTAAACTCTAAAACCTAAAATACCAATATGAGATTTAACTGATGTAAGTCAGTGGTTTTTCAACCTTTTATATAACAAGTACCACCTCAGGACCAACTCTTTTAAAAATAACCCAGTGTTGGCAGACAATACAGAAACAGCACTTTGGGTTTTTTCAATTCTTTATATTCTGTAAAAAAAAAAAAAAAAAAGAAAAGGAATTAAATTTAGTATAAGTTTCTCTTCAATAAATCAGTTCATAAACTTAGAGAGTGACAAAAAAAAGCATGAAAAAGGAAATAAAATACTTTGACAGCACTTTGTCTGGACAGGGAAACAATAAGTGACGGTCATCTGTTTCAAAACAATTATCCAAAGATTAAATTAAATTAGATGTAACGTTTTTTTTTTCTCTGCTCCTCTATGACTTTTATCAGCGAGCCAAGGTGAGCAATTCCTGACATCTAGTGGCCACGTTGTGAAATCACAACGTGAGTCGGACTTCAACAGCATGCTCTCTCATAGGGAGGCGGAAGAGACCAAACTAACGCGAGCCCAGAGTGTGTGCACTATGAAAGAGACGCCAAGAGCAATTCATGAAAATCTACTTTTATTTGGATGCAAAAACTCACAACTTAAAGCAATACTTTAGCAGAGGAGAGGAATACTGATTGCTGGTTATTGAATGAGTGACTGGCTGTTCTTGTCATCTTCATTTGAAACATTAGAAGAGGACAATTGAAGCACTGGTAACAAACACTCAAAAGAAAAGCTGTTGGGTCGAGGACACTGAACATTATCAGAGGATTATGTCAGAGCCCTGGCAATAGATTGTGGCATTTGTCGCCAGTCTCAGTTCAGCCTTATTTTACTAGCAATTTTGGCAGTTTGATCCTCCTTGTTGAGTGTGTGTTTAGTTATAGGTCAGAGTCCACACAGGTCATTTTTTTAGGTCCTCTGATAATGTTCACAGCCATAGAAGTTGTTGGATTTTTGTTACATAGAAAACTATCTGCACTGTTTTAGCTGCCTTGCACATAGCATTTATTTCTCAACTGTGTTGTCAACTGAGAGTGGTCTAGATTCACAGATGGAAACAGGGACTGTGTAAAACTCAGTCTGAGGTAAAATTCTCCAAGAAAAACAATAAAAACATACACAGAAAGCAAAGCATATTAAAGCAAAAGCCTAACGGCCTAAAGTAATAGTAATACTCAAGACTGAACGTAATATATCTATTTACTTTACTGTAAGGTAACTTAGGTAGTTGTCACATTTTGTTCTCTTAAATCTTGCAATATAAACCAATGGTTTTGATCCACAGTATGAGCTACATTCCATTATGTTGTAAACAGAAATATACACAAGGCATCTACTCGAAAGGATTGTATCAAAATGTTCTAAAAATATCTCTGGTTGGTTTCACAAAAGCAAACTGTATCAAAAGCATTGGCTGAGAGCAAGCAATAATAATAATAATAATAATAATAATAATAATAATAATAATAATAATAATAATAATAATAATAATAATAATAGGCTTTTACTTTTTTTTCACACAACGAAAAGCGGGACAACCAATCACGTCGCTTTGATTGTGGACCCTACTGAGTCCCATACAGCACATGCAATCCATTAAACTCAACACAATCAAAAACACAATACAGAAAAATAAGCTTTACAGCTGAACATCAGAGAGACAACCTTGGTTGGTCTATTGTGCTTCATACAGATTAGGCCTGGCCTGTCTATACAACAATCATGAGCTTTGTTACCTCACAGATGCGTTCAAGCTACTTTTGTAAGCAGAGGCATCACAGAGCAGAAGGACGACAAAACTTTATGGAACAATTTTGACGAGAGTGATATGGAAACAAACTGAATGTCACCACCCTCCAGGTTGTTGCTTTTCTCTCCGAGATCGCCCATTTCCATGCTGCTGTTCGCGTTTTGGGATTCTGTTTTTGGCTTTTGCCACTTTGCCGTGACTCTGTGACGCCTCTGAGGGAACGATTAGGTTGTTGTTTTCTGTAAACACCACAGGCCATGAGAACCGCCACACACGGCCTGGACTAAAAAAACGAAAATACTTTAGTTTGCAGAAACCCTAATTAGCCTAACTTTTACATTCCTATGTTCCATAACATTGCACATGCCTTTAACGAATACTTAGCACCATGCAACCTGAAAATGAGGTGACTCAGGCCTTCTGCAATTTGTTTTTTACATTAAAAGAGAGTCAATGAGAAAAAAACTAGATGTCGGTTAACATTTTACATCAATATAGTGGTACATATTAGGCTGGTATTTGATTATCTCTGTGAGTTTCAAATATGCTGGCACTTATTCTGTAAAGGGCCCTTATTTTTATCACTAACTTTCTTGGAGTGAATTTTCTTGAAGCAAACTCTCGTGCGAGAGATCTAAGAATGCCTTACTTCTACTATGACCTTTTGACAGCTGTACAATCATTACATAATGGAGCTATTTCAGACCAAGAATGAAACAAGGCCTTGACAACTCAGACCTCTGAGAATCAGTTTGATGCAAAGTCTCAGCAGCACGAATGAAGCAACTCAGGGACCTTGGGTTAGGTTTAGGACAGGCCTGCAGGACAGATGTTGAAGCAGTTTTTAATAAGGATTTGTCAGTCATGCCTCTATTCCACCTCTTTGTTGATTCTGTACAGCAACATTAAGCGCGGACCCATATGAACGAGCCTGGTTTGGATGAATAGTTTAACATGGTTCGGGTTATTAAAGGGTGAGATTGAGTGACAATGCTAAGTAAGGTGGTGCATACCACCACAGGTGGTACGGTGTACAGTGGTGTGTCTCGGTCTGGGTGCGGCTGTCGTGCTCACGTTATTCTTCAGCGGAGTGAGACAGCTGCTTCTCATACAGGCTGAGGACATGATGCACAAACTGGTACTGCTCACAGGTCTGGATCATTCCACCTCTGACAAACACACAGATGGACAATGGAAAAAGAAACTGGTCTTTGCATCTGAAGCAGGTAAATATTTCTAAAGATCTTGAATAGTAATGTTATGATATTGCTGCTAGTATGTGTGTACTTTCATGTTGATATTCGGAATATTTTTCCCAGTTATCAGTGAGTTATCGATGGTTGGTGGTATACACTCTGATTTCAGTGTTCTATATTTGAAAAATACGTTATCCCTCTTTGCGTACATTCCTCTGCACATTTTTTTGAAACATTTTTTCATGTTGCAATCAGGATTCAAGGTATTTTATGGCATTGCAGATGATAGATATAGATAAATGGTTTTTGCAAATATTTCAATGATGGAATTTTGACCAAAGTACAAGTGAGATAACATTCTTTTAAAACTGAAAGACGTTGATTAAATGTACAAGAATTCCTACTCTATTCAAGGGCATTATTTGTAAAAACCCCATGAGGTTTTTGTCTTGTGTGCCGGAGCTAAATAAAGTGAATAACTGCGAGCGTGACCTTGAAAGCAGAACTACAAACGGACACGAATAGAAGAATAGAGGCAAAAGCTTATCTCACCTGTCCAGA